AGATCAGGAACTGGAAGCTGCAAAACAGGGAAAGAATTGGCCAGAGGACAGTAGGCAGAGCTGGAATGGAAACCCTGGTCTGTCTGGATCCAGGGCCATGACTATCCCACTGTGCTGTGGCCTCACATTCACGCAGAGACAGAAAGGGACTGAATACGACAGGCATTCCACTGCCGGCTCACAGTGGGGGAACATGGAGCTAAGGAGCTGACTGCCTGGATGCAAAGCCTCGTCCCCCAGCTGTGAGGCTTTGGGACAAGTGGCCCAATCTCTGCCCCAGACTTTCATCACCTACCAAGTTGAGATAATACTGGTACCTTCCTCATAGAGTTCTTGCAGGCTGTAAATGAGCTTTTTCATACATGGCACATGGTAAGTGCCATATAAGTTTAAGTTACTGCCATCATCATGTCTGTACAGGGCACTGCTGCAAGGCTGTACATGAACTAACATGCACAAGTCACACGGTACCCTGGGCAGGTACCCAGCTTGCCACCTGTCACTTCTTTCCCCTTGAGGTAGATATCACTGTCTCTGAAAGATGAGGAATCCCCACATGAGAGAGGGGTAGGGGGGCATGAGGAGCCCCGAGTAGGAGGTGAGAAGGAGCAGGCACCTCCCATGGGGCTCACTTTGCCCAGATCCCCCGAGAAAGGCCACTCACGGGCCTTCCTGGGATGGCCACGTTTGTCACAGAAACTACCCCTCCTCGTTGCTCTTCTGCTTACTTGCTTCCTCTTGGCAGACCTGTGAATGGCTCACGGAGGCGTCCATTCAGGAAAGTCTGGTGCATGTGTGTGTCATTGTATGTCTGCATGAAAATGGGTTTCAGTGTCTCTGTGTGAGAGAGTGTGTGTGTCTGTATGACTGTGTAAATGTGTCTGTATGTGAGTCTAAGTGTGTGTCTCTATGTGTGGGCGCGGGCCCTGGCTCTGAGGTGACTATAGGGGCCAACTGAGGTCAAGGCACCTCAAATTGTTCAGAGGCTCCAGGGAGAAATGCAGTGGTCAGCGATTGTGGTTTTGCCCCACACTATTTTTAAAGTTAAAAAGAAACAAGTGGAAACTCATTACCATTTAATAGCTAGGTCAGATTTAGATAAGACAGGCCAGGGGCTGCTGGCATGACAGGGAAGACTGAAGAGACCTGCCACCCCCAAACCCCCTGGGGTCCTGTGCGCACCCACATGCCCACAGCAGACAAACTGCCCTGCCGCCTGTGCAGAGGACACCCGCCTCCTCCCACACATCCTTGCGCTGACCTACAGAGGGTGCATCGTCTATCATTCCCATTCACAGGGAGGAAACTGGGGCCCTGGACATCACCCACGTGCCTCAGGTCACTTCATCAGGAAGGAACAAGACTGGCATTTAGTTCTGGTCATTCTGCCAGGTTCATACAGGGCTGGCAGCCTGGCCTACAGACTCCAGACAGGGACCCAGAGCCCCCTGCTTGGCGCAGCTCTGCACAGCACCCCTGCTTTGGCCCTCCAGTTCTGTCCCCAGCCAGTGCTCTGAAGTGAGGGCTGAGCTGGCTGTTGCATGTTTAACCACCGATTTTCCATCAAGAAAGAGGTTTCCTTCAGAAAGAACAATTTGAACAAAGTTCTCAAGAGAGAGGAAAGTTCTCTAAGCCGTCTTGCAATATCAGTGTACCCCACGCCTTTAACCACTTCCTCGCTACATCAGGAACCCTGGCTTTTTATAGCTGTAGACACTGTTGAAAACATGAGAAGGCCCCATCCTGAAATCCACATCTCACCACCTACCTGAGGGCAAGCTGGGCTCAGCAGCCCCCACCTCAGCATCATGCAGTTTGCCAGCTCAATTTCCAATTTAGAACATGGGCAGTGACCTTGAACCATGAGCATGTAGGAGTGTGTGTGTGTGCATTTTCTCTTCAGACAGAGTGCACCTGGTGGTTCTCTGAAATGCTGGCTTCATTATTGTAGGAAAGATCCTGGGCATAGGGACTCTGCTTCTTGCCCCGGCTTGCTGCCCCATTGATGAACTCCCTGCTCTGGGCTGGCTGGGATTTTCTCCCCTTGTTGCCCGTCCTCACTGTGACCTGGGTATCAGGGCTCTCCGCGTACTTTAGATGCTGGAACTCCAAGCAAGCCCCTGGCTGGGGAACAGCAGGACAGGCACCTTGCCCTGTGTGTTTAACAGCAAACCCAGCCAATCATGGGGGACTGTGAGCTTATCTAAGTGTCTTAGGGACAGAAAACCTATGTGGGCTGCCTGTCCCTGTCTTGGTCTATCAGAACAGGCCACCTGCTGTGGCTCAGAGCTCCTGGAAGTGGTTTCTGGACACATCATGGTTGTATGGAGTCATACCCCCTGTTTTCTCTCCTCTTCTGGCTGTGTAGCCTCACCTTGGACTCTAGTCACAAGGTCCCTTCTTGGTCCTGACAACTAGGCAGAGAAAACAGTGACAATAGTGCTGCCACCTTTCATCCAGAACCTACTAGGTATCTCTGAAAGGTTGGCCCCCTAGTGGCTAAGGACTGGGTCTTGGAGCCTGGCTGCCCACATTCAGATCCTGCTTCTGCTTCAGACTAGCCTTGTCTTGAGCAAGTCATTTGGCCCTCGGTGCCCTGACCCCTCATCTGTAAGGTGGGGTGATAATATCACCAAGCTCGTGAGATGGTTGTGAGGCTTAAATTAATCTCTGTAAAATTCTGAGGACACACAGAGAACAACCTTCCATTGAGTTTAGCTCTTGTGATTCTTAGGCATCTCACCCCAGAGGGACCGCATAGAGCCGATAGCCCTGGGTCCATGTTACCCAAGGGGGAAGGCACTGGGTACTGTGTGAAGTCATCCTGGGGAATTAGAAGCCAGGTCCGGAGGCTGCATTTAGCTGCCTCTGACTTCATTTAGCTTCTGAGATTCAGAGCCTTGACCTTCCTTATAGACAGGACTGGTCCCGGGCCCTGGGACCTCGCCTAGCCCTTTGGAGATCTGCTCCACCCAGTGCCGCACTCAGCTCAGTCCTACTCCCAGGATGACCTTTCTCATTGCAATGCCTGCACTTTGCCCAGAACACTTCTGTCCTGACTCTAAAGCACAAAGACCACTAGAATCTTCCAGGGACTGTGCTCAAGTGTGCTCCCTTATTCCAGGGCAGGCATCTGTTGTCTCTACTACAGAATGCATAACAACACCAAAGACTCAGGTGAGCATGGACACCTCACTTCACAGTCTCCAAAATGCTTTCCTGGGCAATACTTCAACAGTCCCCTTGAAGACCCAGTGGAAGTGGCGCCCTCTGCCTACCCTTTGTGTGTCTGAGGAAACTGAGCTCTGCATTCCTAGTACTCTTAGTTTCTGGGTTTGGGTGCACTGAATAGTCTAGAATGGAAACACTTTCTGTGGAGTCAGGCAGATCAACGCTCTCTTTACACTGGATGGAGTGAGAGGGTACAGTTCATCTCAAGGACTCCCCGTCTTGTTCTGGGTATAAAAACATGAGTGGGCATGAGGTGGGGGTTGAGCACATGGCCTACAGATGGGCTGCTTTGACCAGTGTTCTGGCTTTGCTGCTCAGCAGCTGTGTGTTGTTGGGCAAGATGCTGAACTCCCCTGGGCCTTAAATTCTGCTTTCTAAGATAAAGGGGTAAATAACATTAACATCCCGGGGTAGAGAAGATTTAATGCATTAATATACATGAAGTCCTTACAGCTGTGTCCAAAACTTAGCAAATACTCAATAAATGCTAACTATTATTATGTTTTGATATTGTTTCCAAGCTCCCAGTTCATGGTACTTATTATGTACTTGATAAATGAGACTTTTCCCTTTCCTCTTGGAACCTTTGTCTGCAAAATGAGGATGGCAGCGGTGCCCACCTCAGATTACATGAGACTAGGTAAAGTTTCTGGGAGGGTAAAAACCTGGCAGGTGGCAGTAGGTGGGCAGTGAACAACACTGCCCAGCCCAGCAGTTCCTGTTGCAGAGGTGGGTGAGATTACTGGGACATCCCACCCCTGGCCGGGGTCAGAGGGCACAAGAGACCCTGGAGCCCAGCTGTCTGAATCCACAGGCTGGCTCAGCACCCTACAAGATTTCTGGCTGGGGTCAAGTTACTCAATTTCCCTATTTGTTTATGTTCATTTCTGCAAAATGGAGACAATAACAGCATCTAATTTACATAGCTGTTTGAGGATCAAGAGAGAGAACACGGAGAGGTGCTTGAGTTAATCCTCTAAGTCCTCAGTCCCATGGCTTGCTGTTATTACTATGGTGGCAGTAGCTCTAGCAATGGTAGAGGCGCTAGTAGTCCCCCGGCCCGACCCATGTCATCCCTGAGTCTCCAGAGCCTGAGCTGGAGGTGGGGGTGACCCACCAGGAAGGGCCCTGGGCTGTACATTAGCCTCAGTTCCTCAGTGCATCTCTTCCACCCCAGGGCAGGTGACCCACTGCCACCAACCATCCGGCCCAAGATTGGCCTCCTGGAGCCCAGCTCCATCACTGCGTTCTTAGAGAGGAAATGCTCCCTCCCAGCAGCACAGCCTTGTCATGGAGACATCCATGACTGCCGGAACAATCTGCCTGCACAATGACTGCGTTTCCATCACCTTCTGAGACAGCATCTATTTCCAAGTCCAAGTCGATCTTCACTGAGCCAGGAAAGCTTGTTCCTCAAGAGCCCCTGGAGGCAGGGGTGCGATGTGGCTCCGTCTTCACAGTTCTCTTCCCAGAGGACAGTTGTGCTTCTTGTCCCTGTTCAGCCACCAGCAGCCTGTGCCTCCAGGCACAATGTTGGTTCACAGACAGAAACAGTGATCACCCTGTCCAGCACCCTCACTTCCCAGGGGAGGAAATGGAGGCCTGGGGAGATGCTTGTTCGAGATCATTTAGCATGTTCATCAGTCTTGACCTTCCAGTGCCTGAGGGCACCCCCGGGAGGGTCCTGGGTGCCCCATGTGTGTCCCTGAGGTCTCTGTGCTGAATGGGGGCAGATGACCTCAATGACCCGCATCTGCCTTCTCTTCCAGGGCGGCTCCTCCTTCTCCCCAGCCACTGTCATCAGCCAGGAGAGGGCTCGGCACCAGGCAGCGGCTTTGGCAGAGGAAGTTGGCTGCTCGACCTTGTCCATCCAAGAAATGGTGTCCTGCCTCCGCCAGAAGCCCGCCAACATCCTCAATGATGCCCAGACCAAGGTAGGCACCTGTGTGCAAGCTGGGGAGGCACATTCCCTGGTCTTCTACAAATAAACCAGGCCTGGAAAGGCACGATCCCCACCCCAGGCCACACGGGAGCTTGATGACAACTGGAGCTAGAATGCACACTCCCTGAGCCCCAGTGCCGTGCAGGGGCCAAGGGCTCTGATCTCTCTGCACAGTGGATTTTATCTGTAAAATGGGAATAATGACGTAGCCCTTGCGGAGTTGGAGGATACAGTGACGCGCTCTTACCCGTGTCAGGCCCATAGTAGCTCTCCATCAAGTCACAGCCAGGAGTACTGAGCGTTACAGTCAGGACTGCAGTCGGTTTGGGCCTCCTGTCCCCTTAGATAGGACAGGTGTGTCCTCCCTGTTCAGCCTCCAGAGGTCCTGCTCACAGCCCACGGTCTCTGTAGCCCTGACATTAATGAAGGGGGCACTAGAGGAGGAACTCTTGTCATCTGAGCTGATGGCTTGATCCCTTCAACAAGAGCCCGGGCTGTGGACCTGGAGCAAGTCTGATCCTCAGTCCCTCTAAATGTGGTCCAGTTGAGTAATGGCTGAGGCTGATGAATTTCCCTGAGGGGTCCTCCTCTGGCCACCACACCCTCCCCAGTCAGAGTCCCCTCCTGCCTCGCTCACACCCCTGTAGGCCCAGGCTCACCCATCCCCACTGTGGGCCTGTTGCTGCCTCGGCAGGAAGGCTCTGGGAAGCTGCTCTGGAATCATCCACTGCTCAGAGCAAGACCTGCCGTACAGCTGCTGGCACTGTCGTCTGCTGTCCTGCCTGCCCGTTTGGGGCATTCTGCTCTCACTTCCCAAGGAGCCCCAGATGCATCACCAGCATCAGTGTTCATTGTGGCTAAGACCTGATTAAGCAAAGTAATACAACTGATTATTCTAGAACCATTTATAAAAGGATAAAATCATACATATAACGGCACCCATTACACCCAATGCAGCTCCTGGCTGTGAGTGGCCCTTTCCACTACTGGGGTCCTGTGGTCGATGGCCAGTACCTCCGAGAGGCTCCAGCCAGAGCGCTGCAGAGATCTCCCCGGGCAAAGGTTGACCTGCTCATCGGGAGCTCTCAGGATGATGGACTCATCAACAGAGCGAAGGCTGTGAAGGTAGGCAGGGAGGAGGCCTCAGGGGTCCCCTGTTGGCTGTGCCCTGGTGTCTGCACCTCAAAGTCTTAATGCAATCACAAGTCATTGACTTACTTGTTCGATTACAACACAGCTGCTGAACAACTACTCTGGGCAAAGGCTTTATAAGGACTTTGGGAGGTGATATGGGAGGGGCGGGGTTCATGCATGAGACACGTGCAGAGTTGCAAGGAAAGCAGACACATCCATGATCACATTCACAAATCGCATCTGGGAATGAAACACTGTGGGAAACAGTGCGCAGGGGCTGCAGTTTCAGAGTTCCAGGCCATGCATAGCCCCACGCCCTGCAGGATGCTTATCCCAGTGAAGGCTGGGAGGAGAGGCTGGTGGATGAAGGGGTGCCATCTCCCGATCCTGGAAGGGAAACCCAAACACCACCCCTCCATGCTTGTTTTCTTACCCAGGAAAGCATAAGCATGCCCAGGACAGCTTTGTGGGGCATGCTGGAGACTCAACAAAGGGGGAGGAAGTTGTGTGGTCTTTTATCTGCCTGAGCACACCCTTCCGGCCATGACCGGATGTCATTGCCTCCCAGTGGGATGGGCTCACCCTTTAAAAGGCCAAGCACACATTCCTCTCCTCCGGCCCACCCACCCCTCCTGACGGGACCTTTAGGTGGTCAACCCTGCGATGGTGACCCCAGCTCATGAAACACAGTGAGAGGACACACGCTCAACTAAGGCACCTTGTCTGGCTCTCCTGCACGTAAGAAAACTGGAATTAAAAAAGAAAATCATCACGTAACTTAATGGGATCCTGCCTTTCCTTAGATCATTCTATTCCCTTCGGTAAAATATCTCACTTAGAGGAATCTATCTCACAGCAATAAAAACACCACTTTGCCATGATATATATACAGGGGTATTTATCACAGCATTTCTCTAATTATTGTGGCAAAATGTTGGAAGCAACTCAATTGTCTATTAGCAGGGAAATGGCTGTCTCAGTTAAGGTGCACATAAACTTAGACATTATGCAGGTGCTGAAAAGAATGATCTAGATACACTTCTTCCTGGTAAGTTGTTAGATGGAAAACAGAAACTAAGAATGCAGAGAAATGTGAAATTGAAGTAGCATGCATATTTTAAATAACTCATCTGTAATATATAAATGTATATAATTTTATATATTTCTATGTGAAAGGGTAATGGTGTGAAAAGGACCATTAACAAGCAATTAATGCTGGTTATCTCAGGAAATGTGGGGGTGTGGAAAAGAATACTATGAATTGAATATTACTAATTTTCTGCATGTTATATATAATGTGCATACATATATGTATATGTAGATAGGGGTGTGTGTGTGTGTGTGTGCGTTAGGGGGTATGCAGAGCAGAGCTCAGTCACCATTGGTCATCTGTCCAGCTGACTCATGGCCGTGGAAAGAGAACTTCTGTGCCTGATCCACCTTTATGTTTTTCTGCTGAGCAGTCATGGTTATCACGGCCCTGACCTCGAGGGGCTGCAGCCTGATGACTGAACCAGACTAACACTAAGGAAACACTGATATGATGCCATTCTCCATCACTAGCCCTGGGCTTTCCTTCTCTAAAGTAATGAGATCGCATGACTTTTAATCAAGACCCTTATTACATTAAAAAATGGTACAGCCATTTAAGTATAAATTACATACATGTATACCCCTGTACTAATACACTGAATCATTACAGAAGATTCATAAAAACAACAAAAAATTTAAAGCATGAGAAAGAAAGGGATGTTTTTGTATTTGTGCCTCTGCACGCTCTGCCCCGAAGCAGTGCCCAGCAGCAAGGGCACAATGCAAAGGAACGGCTGGGGACCCCAGACCCTTTTCCATGCAGTTCCTCAGCTCACATTGTCCTACAGGGGAGGATGTGGGAATCTCTGTGCAGAAGAGACTATATCCTCACAGCTCTGATGCTCTGGACCATGTGCTGAAAATTTATCCTGACTTTACAGAGAGAGGAAGTATTACTTTATACCCCCAGGAGCCTGGTGGTCAACTAGGCAGGTGGGAGGCAGCAGGCCCTGGCTGCCAGTGCCCATACCCCTGCCCCTGCAGGGGAAAGGCTATCCATGGGGCTGGGAGCAGGAGGGTTCTTACTGGGAACCTGGAGCTGTGGTTGCGCAGCAGGCAGCCCAGGTCTGTAGTTTCTGAACAGGCCAGCCCAAGGTTAGAGGCTAGTCTGGTCCTGCAGCTGCCTTGATCTTTCCTGGTCCTCCCCTAGCAGCATGTTTGGGAGTTTCCAGACTCTGTCCTGGACTTCTGAGCCCCGCCAGTGAGGAGCCTGCAGCCAGAGGACAGGGGTCCCTCCTCAGTAACGCATTTCATTCCTTTCGTTGAGTTTCCCTCGGAGGCCTTCAAGGAGAGGTTTCCTTGGTCCACTTGCCAATAAAGATGGTGTCTGTTGCCAGGAGCTTACTGCACTCACCAGGACGCGGCTGGAGAAGTGTGCCCTCAAGTGCGGCACCAGACAGGGGAGCCACTAAGAGGGCATGGCAGAGCGGTGCCAGCCCTGTTCCACAGCTGGTACCCAACACCCAGTCCTGGGGCAGCACACCCTCTGCACATTTATTCTCAGTTAGGTGGTTCTGTCTTAACTTCTCATCTCTACTCATGCTCCTGTGAACACACACTAGTGTAGCCAAAAAGTGGGTTTTTTTTGTGAGCCAGCATCCTGCCAGGACCTCATCTGGGTGCTTAATGTGGGGAACTGAGAGGAAGAGGGAAAGAGTCATGGTGGGCCCAGAAGCCAGCTCCATACTTTTATGCCATTACGTGCTGACATCTCCTAATATGTGCCTCCAGCCCCACTTTATACCTCCTACCTGGACGTTTCCCTTGAGTGCTAGACTGGGTTAGCTCACAGCCTGTTTGACGTCTTCACTTAGATGTCCCATAGCTTCTCATATCCAAGTGAACTGCAGATTCCATCTCTGCCCCCGCCCACCCACCGTGTCCTCCTGTGCTCTTCACATCTCAATAAACAGCAACTCATGCATGTGCAAGCACGAACGCCCAGCTCAAGCCATTCTCGACTCAGCTCTCTCCCATCCTACCAGCATTCTGTCAGCAAATCCCGTTGGCTCTGTCTTCAGAATGTATCCAGAATCCAGCCACCTCTTCGGCCATCACCCTGACCCATGGCATCATCTTTCTCTAGGGTTTTTATAAGGGCCCCCAACTATCTTCCTTCTCCTGCATCATTTGTCCCCTATGATTTATGAGAACCACAGTGGCCAGTGCCACTTTATAGTACAAGTCAGATCATGTCACTCCTTTACTCAGCTTACACAGGAAAAGCCACAGTCCTTGCAGTGATGCTACCTGATGTGGCCCCTATTCAACCTCTGACCCCACCTCCTGCTATGCCTCCCTTGCTCACTGTGCTGGATCCTAACTGGTCCCTTTGATGTTATTCAACTATGCCAAGCATGCTTCCACCTTAGGGTCTTGGCACTTGCTATTCCCTCTTCTAGAATGTTCTTCTCCAGGTAATTCACTGACTTCCTTCCTTCAGAGTCCGCTTCTTCAGAGACCTTGCCTGACCACTGATGGAGAGGGCAGTCATATCCCCAGAATTCTCTCCCCCGCTTCCCCTGCTCCATCCTCAGCACAAATCCCCCTTGACAGATGATATATTTGTCTATTGTATTTCTTCCTCAACTAGCATGGGAGCCCGTGGGCATTGAGACTTCATCTGTTTTGTATTCTGCGTTCTCTCTGGTTCCTAGGAAGATATCTAGTGCAGAGTAAGTGCTCAATGAATCATTATTAGATTGAAGGAATGACATTATGGAAAACCATCTACATGCCAGGATGGAACCTGAGTCTTCAAGGACATGATTCATCCTCAGGCAACCCTATGAAGCAGGGATTTACTATCACTGTTTTTCAGATGGGAAACCACTCAGAGAGAAGGCAGAATTCAAGTCCAGGTCTCTCAGACTCCAAAGACAGCCTCTTTCCATTACAGCCCTCAGGACTCTGGGAAAAGCCAGGCCTTCCCTCCGAGAGGGAACCCACACACTGTGAGGTGGGGGCCCATGAGCTGATGTCTAACATCATCTTACTGAGGAAGAAGGCTTCCAGAGGTTTAATGATAATGACCTTGTCACAAAGTCATCAAACCAGTCATTCACAAAGCCAGGTATTCTCTGCAGAGCCTCTGTCTCCAAATGGGGTGCTTTCCCATGACCCCATGTGTGCTGAACTCCAGGATAGGGATGGTAAATGCACTCATATCACTGAACCCTCCAAGACATGACCACAGCCCAGAGCTCCTCAGAATCCTGCCCAACACAGGACTGCCGCATAGTCTGTATGGACACACACGTGGAAACCAGGCTACCAGCTGCCCCCTAGATACAGCATTGTAGTTCCTCTTTCATTTCAAAACATCCTCCTCATGCACGCCCCCCAGGATTCCCTCCCATGCCTCAGCCTGCTCACGACCTTCATTCAGACTTGAGTTTGTGGGTTTCTCCATTTCTCCCCAGAAGGTTCCATTGCATATGCATTCAACTGCTATTAGCTGAAGGAGAGCTCTAGGAGGGCACGTTCCCAAGGACCTCAATCCCAGTGACTCCTTCTGGATCCTCTGGCCTCCTGTATAAAGTCAGCCCCTCCTGCCCATCTGTGCAGAGAAGCAGGATGTAGCAACTGCAGAAAATGACCACAGCCTAGAACAGGGTATCACACATGTTTCTCAACACTGAGACCTGTTTAGACATGCAACACTTAACAAAGTCATTTACTGTGTGACAGACATGGGGCTAAGTGTTTGGGGCATAAATACACATAAAATTTCTGCCTTCAAGGAGCACACAGTAAGGTAAGGTAAACAGAAAATGAGCAAAAGTAAATAACTAAAATACAGTTTGGTGTATGCTGTGCGGAGAGATGGGCATTCTACTGCAGGCCCTCAAGAGGCTGCTGGGCAAGTAGGGGTCACTGACCCACGTGGCATTGCCCCG